CCCCTGCTCGCTCCCTCGTCCGTCCGCCGCCCGCGCCCGTCGCCCCGCCCACTGTGTCGCCCGCGCGGCGCGAGCCCTGAGCCCTTCGCTTGCCCGGTCGGTTCGGTATATGGAAGTTCGTTCTTACTTCACTGGAAACTGCAAGTAGATCGTGCCCATCACCGCCCGCTCCGCTAGGGCTAGGGCTAGACTGCGCGGTGCAACACCACCAAACAGGAATGCGGAGGGTAAATGCCGAGGGGGCAAGAACTCCGGGAATCATGTGTACACCTGCTTGGGAATCATCAGGATAAAATTTGATCAAAATCAATAAAAATCGCCTAAACTAAGCGGGAAACTCGAGCAACTAGTATAAATCGTACAAATCAGTCGAGATGAGCGTTTTCCACCACTAAACAACCTTGAGAAAAACTAAGGAATGAATGTAAGCGGACGGGAATCACTGGGAATCAAGAATTTCGGGAATCATGTGTACACTTCAAAATAGAGTTATTGCCCCCTCGGTAAATGCAGTGATGGGTCATCGGTAATAATCAATAATCGAAAATTAATCGATAAATAAAAATTAATCGATAATCGAAAATTAATCGTTCATCGGAAAGTACTCGTTCATCGATCAAAATTTAACAATCGCTTCAAGAATCGGCCATCGGTTAGGTGAAAGTCGATTGTCGATAACTATAATCGGAATCGAAATTTCAAAAATCATCGACGATGGCAAAAAAAATCATCGTCGATTTCGATTTTCCGATTAATCGCCCAGGCCTAGCTCCGATCCCCTTGGCGAAGCCGAGCCGCCGGGCCCGCCGGCGGACCCGGAGCCGAGCGGAGCCGAGCGGAGCCGAGCGGAGCCGAGCGGAGCCGAGCGGAGCCGAGCGGAGCCGAGCGATGCCGAGGGGATCGGGGTGAGCTGAAACGCCTTCTATAGGTTAAAAGAGTTCTTTAAAATGGTTGCAAAGTCATTTTAATGACAGGTACCAATAATTTTAAAAACTAGATTTTAAATTTGTTAATAATCAGATTGAGAGCCTTGTTAAGCTGCTTTTAAAGTTGTCTTGCTCTGTGGTTTTATGTGAAATCCCGCCCATTGGCTCTGCAGGTTCATCGAGCTCTGTCAACAAGCTTATCATTGATTTCAATTTGTTTTTTAAATTCTATGAAGATGTATGCAGAAATTGTTCCAACTTCCTCAGTTATTATATCTGATGGTATGGTTAATTAGAACATGTACTGTCAATTTTATATTTTGTCTGGGCGACCTGATTGGCTGAGCGATTAGCGAAGCCTACTCCAGTGATGATCAAAAAGTTTCGCGTCTGTCTGTCTGTTAGTCGGTCATCACGATAATTCGAGAACGAATTGAGCTAGCGACCTGGGATTTTTAGGGTCGTTTTGTGTCATCAAAAGACACATCAAGTTCGAAGAAAAGCATTCTAGCTCAAAAATTGGATTTAAAAAAAATCAAAAACTACAAGTCCCCAAAATGACGTTATTAAAAAAATAAAATTACTGTTTTGTAAGGGGTCCGTTTGGCTCTATCCATAACCATTGAGGCGCCACAGGGAGCTTTTGACGAAAACAAGCAAAACAAGCTGGGCCCGCCCTTCCGCCAAACCAAGTTGCCAGCTCCGCTTCGCTCCCCCGGCAACTCGGTTTGGCAGGGAGCGGGCTCAGCTTGGCCTGCCGGCGGCGTTTGGGACGGGCCTTCGGCCCGTCCCTTCTGAATCTTCATGGTGTAATACATCTTTTATCCGAAAACGGGCCTTCGGCCCGTTTAAGTGACGGCTTGCTTTGGACCATCTTTTTGCCAGGTACCTTTTCTGTCTACTCCGTAATCAAAACTCAACAAACGAAGTATTCTTTTCATACGCTGAACATCTTTGGCTGTGTGTGCCGCAGTTTGTAGAATACATGCAGGTTATGCCAAATCCCTTCTAAGTTTTTGATGTTAGCTTATGAATCAAATAACATACCTATGAAAAGATACATAAGACTAGCCCTAGAAGAAGTTAAATATACTTCCAGGCATACTCAGATTGACTCCGAACGTGTTCGAACAACAAATAAATGTTTTTTTGGTGTGTTTTTTTTTGCTTTTTTGCATGGAAGTGTAAACGTTTTATTAATGATGTCCCACCATAAAATAAGCCCACTCTTCTGCTTAGAAGAAAATTTTGAACCGACGGCGTACTTTTCAGACAGAAGTGTACTTCTGAAAAAGTAAAAATATTTCTGTCTTGGCCAGTTTGGTAAGAAAAACTCCCTTATGTAAGTAAAGACGGCAAAATTTTAGTCCAAGAGGCTCTACTTTCACAAGGTACCCCTTAGGAGACCATCAAATATTTTCTAAAAATTTTATATTTATTTTTGGGCCACTTTCGTGAGAGAAACTCGCTTTAGCGCCTAAACGGTGAGAGATAGAGCCAAACGGACGAAAATTTCGCCCGAAGGGCTCTACTTTCACGAGTTACCCCTTAGGAGACAATAAAAAAAATATTTTTTTTCCACTTCTTGGACCAACCCCTATTTCTTTGTTACCCCCTCAGACCCACTCAGGGGTGGTTGCCAGGATTTGCACCAACCGTTTCGTTGTCCAGAAGTGACAACAATAATACCCTGAAAATTTCAGACCTCTAGCTCACGTCCTTCTTGGGGAACGGACAGACGGACAGACAGACAGACAGACAGACACAGAGGCGATGGCATAAGCCCGCTTATATAGCTTTTAAGCAAAAGAGCGGGCTAAAAATGCATAAGTAGTCGAAGTGACGGGAAGTTGACGGGCCTATCTTTGTGTTCATTTTCGCGCTACCCGACTCGGGTGTCAGCGCCGCAGGCCTAGGTAGATTTATGCGAGGTGCGTCGCAGCGCAACAGTGTTTCGTGAGATATTGCGAAGCCTGTTCCGCGAGACGTGGTCTGGCGTACATCTACCTAGTTTAATCCACCCAAATGGGGAGGGACTGGTTGCTATCCTCGACATGCTTACATCTGCTCATCTGGTATGATTGTAAGTCTTTTTTAAAGTGAGTTTCATGAATGCATTATTATTTGGTTAAGTAGTAGCAAAGCCTTTAACTCAACTGACCAGATAATTAGTTGCTGAGAAATATCTGTTTCACAGAAATATTAATGTAAAATAAAGAAATAGAAATGCAAGTACCTTTCACCGATAAACAGTCAATATAGTAAAACTTATTTCAATCCATGGTGCTATTGCATTTCAGTTTCAAAGATAACTTAACGAGATGGAGAAAAGATAACATGAACAGTACTATCTCGGAAAACTTTTACTTTGCTTCAGTTCAGTTACATATTACACTGTTATCACAGATTGGGAAGTTATAAAAACCGGGATGGAAAACCCTTTTTGTTAGCCACCAATTTTAAGACTAGGAAACTTTACACCAATAAAATACCTCATTTGTAATTTGTCTAGCTGAAATAAAAATTATGCACTCTGTGCCACCTGCTGCCACAACTGAGCAGATGAAAATGCTTGCATCTCTATCTTCTGACAAAGATAGTACAGCATAGCATGATGTGGGTCCCGAAGAAGTTCCCCCGATTCAAGCAGGTATTGGGGTACATTGGGCATATAGTACTAACGGCTAAGACTCATAGCATTTCACATCTTTCGCATGGTCAAACGTCCTGCAATAGCTTGAGGAAACCTATTAAAAAACAATGAACATTTGACTTACAAGCACAGTCACTTTTTAGGTGAAAACAGTTCTTAATGTAAGGCCAAACTTACAACAAAATTTTCTTTTTGCAATATTCATTGAAGTCTGCTTCCTCTTAGACACTAGGTAGATGTACGCCAGACCACGTCTCGCGTAACAGGCTTCGCGATATCTCACGAAACACTGTTACGCTGCGACGCGCCTGGCATACATCTACCTAGGCCTGCGGCGCTGACACCTGAGTCGGGCAAAAGGCAGAGTCGTAGATGGGCCTTCGGCTCCAAAGGACACAAATTTTACCCCCAGGACTTTATTTTGACGAGTCGCCCCACCAGAGTCCATCAAATGTCTGAGAAACAACATTAATATAAAAAGGGGCGATTTTCAAGTGGAAATCACCCTCTGGCGCCTCAACGGTTAGAGATAGAGCCAAACGGACGAAATTTTCGGCGAAAGGGCTCTACTTTGATGAGTTACCCTTTAGAAAACATAAAAAAAATGTTGTTTGAAAATGTCATTTTAGGGACCTGTGGTTTTCGATTTTTTAAAAATCCAATTTTTGAGCTAGAATGCTCTACTTCGAACTTGATCTGTCTTTTTGGCTGAGTGCAGACGAAACTAAACTATAATATACTATACTACATCACAAAGCCAATATATTGATCGGAAAAATCGCCGCTATAGGTTGCCGCCAACCTAACAGTGCATAAGAAAAAAATTGTGTTGAAAAAATGCACTTTTATTTGTATGAGTTATTTTAAATTTGGTTGACGTTTTATTGGCAGGTTTTGTGACATATGCATTTGTTTGTTAGTTTTGGAGGGGTTTATAACTTAATATAATATTATTTGTAGATGGTTGTTGGTGTTGCAAATAAAGTTTTCATTTGGATGTGTTGGTACACATTAGTTGTTTGATTTGAATTGCGTGAGGCGATTCTTATTCGTTCTGTCCCGTCGCGCTGTGGATTGCAGGCGGATTGTTTGCATTTTCGATAGATTTGTAGAATATAACGTGACTGTTTCTATTTCGATAGATTAGTAGAATATGCCGTGACTGTTGGATTTATGATAGATTAGTAGAATATGCCTTGACTGTTGCATTTTCGATAGATTAGTAGACTATGCCGTGACGGTTGCATTTTCGATAGATTAGCAGAATATGCTGTGAAAGTCGTGTGGCAGCGTAATGACCGACCGAAAGGTATGTACTGTTTGGAGCGTTATGGTTATGTTGTCATGTATTGAAGCTGTTGTTAAGTTGTCGCTTATTTTACTTTACGCATTGGAGGCAAGCAGATATAAATTATCCGTGGATGGGATCATTTGAGAATAATATTAGTGAAGGTGTTGTAACCAAGCAAGATTATGAAATTTTGAAGACTAGAATGAAGGGAGCAGTAGCTAATTATAATGACTTTGATGATGCACTGCATTTATTTGCAACAAAAGAAGTGCGTAATTTTAATATATCAAAGTTAGCTGAATTAAGAGATAATAACAATGCTCTTGTACCAGTTTTGAAAGTTGAAGCTCGAACAAATTGTGTTAAAGCTAAAATAGCTTCTACTGATGAAGCTCAAGGATTGGAACAGAATTTATATTTAGCGAGGGGATGTAATATTATGCTGAGAACAAATCTTTGGTTGGCTAAAGGATTAGTTAATGGTGCTATGGGTAAAATTGTTGATATTTTATAAAATGATAAGACTAAAGTTTCAATTTATCATCCCACAGTTTTGTTATGTGAATTTGAAAATTACACTGGCCCTTCAATAATACCAGGTTCAGATGTAGTACCTGTGCCCACTATGTTGAGCAGTTGGACAAATCGGCATAATGAATCATTGTCTCGCATTCAATTTCCAATATCATTGAGCTATGCTTGTTCGATCCATAAATCTCAAGGACTTACTTTGTCAAAGGTATGTATTAGTAGTGTGTAAATAAATGTTGTGAAGAGGAATATTTTATACTAGCTATATGTACGCCAGACCACGTCTCGCGTAACAGGCTTCGCGATATCTCACGAAACACTGTTACGCTGCGACGCGCCTGGCGCACATATAGCTAGGCCTGCGGCGCTGACACCCGAGACGAGCTCATGGGATGGTAAACGGGAACAGGGCGTTCCGGCCCAAAAAATTGACATACTGAGTGCATTTGTCTGAGACATATTACTCAAAAATCACGGGCATAAAACGTCTGCTGTTCGATCAAGGTTTTCATTAAAAGTTCGAATTTGGACAGAATGTTATTTAAAAATCAACGTTTTAGTGATACTAAATAATCTAGGTACCCTTAAGCCTACAAGAGGGTGTGGTTCGACCCGTAATGTGTGGTTTAAGTATTACCCCCTTTACAATTCTGTGACATTAAGCCTTTTTAACGATTTAATAGACCATTTTGTCTTTTACACGTTGTTTTCGCCAAGAAATGCCCCATAGCGCCGAAACGGTACAAGATAGAGCA